CCAACGCCATCCTTACTCCTTCCCTTGCCAAACTCATTCCCACCTCTGCTTTTGCCCATGTTGGCTCTGCTGCCTGGAATGCCCTCCATGATCCTCTTGCTTACCCGAATTCAAACTTCTTGCAGGGTCAACTTTAAGATACCATAATAATTAACTTTATGTTTACAATGCCAGGCTACTGTTCTAACTACTTTGGAGATACTAACTCATTTAATCCTGTTGGCAATTGCTTAGGTACATACTCCTCCACCTCCACTTTATAGATGTCAAAATGAAACACAAAGAGGTTAAATAATTTCCCCAAGGTCTAGTAAATACTAGGTCCAGCAAATTGACCCAAGTACTCAAGTGCAGAAACCATACCTACCTGCCACATTATCTTCCCTTGCTTAATCTATAAGACGGTCTCCCAGCTCATGCCTCTACCTTGAACACACAGACTAGCCCACTCTCAAGCACATGATTACAGCATTATTTTCTGGCTACACCACATTTCTATAGTTTATGTTTATTTGGCCAGTGTAATGAAGTGAGATAGTAGTGTTAATGCAGCTATCTAAGTTTGATATTTTCCCATTATCCCTTTGCTGTGTATCTTATAATCTATTCTGCAAAAATTTTAAAGATGACTGATTTTGACCGAATTTGGCTCACTACTATATATATTTTTTCTGAGTATAAAAATGAAAAAGAATGAGGGAAAGGGGAAATACTGAGGAACAATATTGACCAAATTGTATTGTTATATTCATGTGCATGCATGAATTTATTACAAGGAATCCTACAATTATATATAATTATAATGCACCAATAAAAATAAGGAAAATAAAATAAAGAAAAAAATAAAAATTATAAAGAATATTAAAATAATGTACAGGGCTGGGGTTGTGGCTCAGTGGCAGAGCACTTGCCTAGCATGTATGAGGCACTGGCTTCGATCCTCAGCACCACATATAAATAAATGAATAAAATTAAATTTCATCAACAACTAAAAATAATATTTAAAATAATATACGATGTATTTTCCAGAAATTGCCACAGCTAATATTGTGATATTGTTTAGGCCTTGCCAGCTGTAGACTCTCAATCTCCCATACCCATTCTCTGCAACTCAGCTCAACTTGACCATTAAATCCTCCATTGTGAGGAAGTGTTCACTTCCAGGCTGCCTGAGAGTCATCCTCTACCCTCATATTCTGACTCAGCATCATCTTGAGAGATGGGTTCTTGGAACTTGTCCTGGGCATGTCCATCGCACATACTTCTGACAGACTTTTATTTAGGTGAATATTCTCCCTTCCCACTAAAGAAAGGAAGGGCTTACTAGTTTTACTTCACAGGTTCAGCAACTGAAGCCAGATCTGGTTATTGTGACAGTGCCCAGCAGGGCTCAGATGCTCAGTGGTGTTTTCCACTCTGTGGTTCTACCCCTAACTTTCTAGGTAATTCTGGGAAAATTGCTTCATGTTCTTATTCTTATGGAAATCCACTCTCCTCAATTTCCCCAGATGGACCTTCAAGGCTTTTATTTTCATATTGTAAAGGGAAAAGTCTCAAATAAAACTAGAGATTGCCAAAGAGATAGTTCATTCTCATCCTCCTCCATGGTGGGCATGGATGTTGTTTGTGCTCTTTCATCATTTCCTGCATCTCTTGCCTGTGTACATGATAGAACTGAACTTCCCTGCAATTGTAGTTATGTGGTCGTGTAACTTGCTTTGGTAAATTAAATGAAAGCACCTAAGAGCCACCATGTGCTCTGCTGGGTTTTTTTTTCCATCTGACTTAGTAACCTGAAATATTTGAGGTAATAATTGCTGTATTAGTCTCAGCCTCTTAGAAACTAAAAATTAGAAGAAAAACTTTGCTGACCTTCAGTTGACATGGAGCATGAGCAAAAAATAAAACTTTGTTTATTAAATTGAGATTTTGGAGTTGTTTGTTACTGCAGCATAACCTCATATATCCTGACTGACACAACAGTGGAAAACTAGAACCTTTATTCAATAAACTATATGGTGTCATTTAAATTTCCTTCCTGAAGAATAATAATGTAGGAAAATTATTTCTATATAACAAAATGTAGAAAAAGGTAGCATATAAAAATCTACTATATCATTTGTGTTCTATTAAAAGTTTTTACATGTTCACCTTACCACTTTCTCCAAAAAGAAGAAGGAGAACTATGAAAATGTCAAGAATTATTGTCTTTGGGATATAGAATCTTATATGGTTTTCTACTTTGTGAATTTTCTTCATACTTTAATATATTTAATACTTTTTAAAATGTCCCAACATATTCTATTTAAATACCCAGGGATGCCTCTTAAATAAAGAGAGATCTCCTACTCACCTCTCTATATATCAGTAGTTAATGCATTGTATAAGACTGTTCCTTAGGTTCCCTATCAATTCTAAAGAAGGCAAAGTTATACTTTCTTTTAAAGATACAAACCATGTCTTAGTTGTCTTGCAAAGATTTCTAGCACAGCTACATTAAAAAGATGAATATACTGCAAGGACGTAAGAGATGAGGTGACTTGTACAAAATTATCTCAAAGCTTAGGGGATAGAATTGGATCTGCCACACAGGCCCTCTGAGTCCTCATCTGTGGTACAATGACCTTTGCATTTGTAGAAGTTATTTTTCATCTAACCTTACTTGTGCTGCTTTTAGGCTTATGCCTTCTTACTCTGATGCAGACAAGTAGGCTGTCAAGCAGTAATACTTTAGGAGTCAGTCCTGATGCCATAAATATGTATCATGGGTCTTTTTAAAAAGAGATTATTCTGGTCATTAAACCATGCCTTGTTAGAGCTTGTAGAGCCTGTAATCTAGCTTTCTTATTTTAGAAATAGTGATATTGGAACTAAGAAATAATAAATGAATAACATAGTGATGGAAAAATAGATCCTGCAATTCTCAGGATAGTGCTATTCTTTCATTTATTCTTTTGCTCACAAACCTGTACTAAGCATCTACTATTTGTAAGACTCTGTTTCAGGTAGTTCTTATGGAAATTGTAAGAATGAATTAAGCATAATATCAGTCATCCAATATTCTTACAATCAAATATTAGAGATGATACTCAATAGACTATTCTCATTGGTATAATTTGGGCTAAAATTCAAATAAAAGGAGCTAGCTTTCTATATACCCCTGGCAAAAGGCCCAGTCTCTGTTTTTGTTTTGTTCTTCCACCTGGAACTAACTGCAACCTCAGCACTCTACCACCAGTGTTTCCTTTCCTCTTTCCTACTCCAGTAGTTCCCAATTGTTTTCTTTTTCCGTTACAAAGTAAATTATGAGCATAAATCTTATAGGTAATGCAGATTTAAACAGTGGTAGAGGATATATGAGGAACTCAAACAACTCAACAATGGGAAGAATCTGACTTTAAAAATGGGCAAATAAACATATGAAAAAAATGTTCAACATCACTTACCTCCAGGAAAATGCAAATCAAAATACAATGACATGTCACATCACTACAGTAAAAATGAATGACTCTTAACAAAAAAACAAAGTATAAGTACTGGCGAGGATGTGGAGAAAGGGAAACTCTTATACCTTGTTGGTGAGAATATCAATTAGTAGAGCCATTATAGAAAATAGTATTCAGGTTCCTCAAAAATCTAGAAATAGAACTACCTATGATCTATCAATTACTCTACTGTGTATATAGCTAAAGGAAAGGAAATGAGCATGGTGAAGAGATACCTGCACCGCCATGTTCACTGTAGCACTATTAACAATAGCCAAGGTATGAAATCCACTAATTTTCCATTGATGGATGACTGGATAAAGAAAATGTTCTGTAATAAGCAATGAAATCTTATTCAGCCATAATGAATGAATCTTGTCATTTGTAGGGACATGGCTAGAACTGGAAGACATTACATTACATAAAATACGTCAGGCACAGAAAGACAAATAGTGCATATTCTCACATGTGGAAACTAAAATAGTTCATCACACAGAAGTAGAGAGTAGAATAGTGGTTATTAGAGACTAATAATTATACAGGGAGATCGAAAGAGAATGTTTAATGGAAAAGGGATATGGTTGCATAGGAGAAACCATTTGTTCTATAGCACAGTTGTATACCTATGGTTGACAACAGTATTATATGTTTTGAAATAGCTAGTAGAGAGGAGTTGAATATTCCCAAAGCAAAGAGATGATAAATATTGGGATATATTAATGGTAATGGGTATACTAATTACCCTGATCTGATCATTGTCCATTGTATACAGTATTGAAAATCACACTGTACCCCACAAATATGTCATTATTATGAGTCAATTAAAATTTCTAAAAAATTTTAATTAAAAAAGTGATGAAATTGGAGTAGAATATAAATACCCTACTATATTTTTCTGCAAGAGTCTTGAGCTACCTTGTGCTTCTCAGAACATATTTGGAAAATCATGTAGCCCTCATGTTACCCTTTTATTCCAAAGTCCACCTTATTTAGCCTCATAATCCTCAGAATTCCCTCCCCGCCACACACACACACACACACACACACACACACATCAAGAGACTTCAAGTGCCCTTTCCTTTCTGTTTAGACCATAGGGAAGAGGAGCAGAAGTCATTAGTAACCATCTACAATGTCATCATCCTGGGGCATGAACAGGGAGAGTGGGTGGAGAATGGATCTGCAGGAACTAATAAAAATATCTGGTGCAATAAGGAACTGTAAATGATTTTCAAGAGCAAGCCCCATGAAATGTGTTCCAGTATTACTGAAGTGTCTGGAACTCTTAGAATGGAGGGACAAGCTCCTACAATATATCTGGGAGGAGACTTGGACTAGGGCAGTGGTAGAAAGGATGGGATGAAAGGTTTTCAACCATGCTGGATCCAGACAGATGTGTGTTTTCTAAAGTAATTTCTTACTTCAGTCTATTATTGAGAGGTGATATATTTTTCTACTCAGGAATGTGTTTTGTTTTGTTTTGTTTTTTTCCTAATTGTGGACTTTTCTCCCTAGATCTGAACCTATAGTCTTAGGAGCTGGAATGATGATACCACATCTTCAAGAGTCTTCCAGAAACTGAACAAGGATCCCTTGGCAAGCAGAGTTTGCCATTTGCACTTTTCAAATATCTTTGGATCACCCAACACTTTAATCAAGAGCCTGCAGCAAGACTGGACAGCACCTAGCCATGGTGTACTTAGAGGAAGGAACTCAATAGCCCAGCCCTTCACTGCTTGGGACTCTTGTCTCTGCAGCCTGTGGCTCTGAACAAACACTACTGCACTTTAGAAAGTTACTCCATGGAGGATAGGAATGGCAGCAGAACACAACAGACACTAGTATGGTAGTATGTAAAAAAGTGGATGTGTAACCGATGTGATTCTGCAATCTGTATACGGGGTAAAAATGGGAGTTCATAATCCGCTTGAATCAAATGTATGAAATATGATATGTCAAGAGCTTTATAATGTTTTGAATAACTAATAATAAAAAAGAAAATAATCTAAGAAAATCTAAATAAATCAAAAGATGTAAATAAAAAAAAAAAAGAAAGAAAGTTACTCCATGGGAATCTGGCCCCTAGTGAGTGTCCTGAGGCTCCTTCTTGCTGCTAGACTGAAAGCAAAGAGAGTTACTTCCCCCTAACTTTCCAAAGCAAGTCAGAAGCAGATATGTGTGGAAATTTCCAGTTATAGAAAAAAAAAAAAAACAGATTGCCAGTGGTTATTTTTATCTATCACTTCCTCTGGAGACTGGAAGCTCACAGACAGGGCTTTGTACCAACTCAAGCCATAACTGGCATTCTTTATGGCTTCCCAGAATCTTGATAGTATTTGAAGTTGTTCTAATGATTAGAAAGCATTTAAGTATACATTAAGTACATAAATTATAGAGAAAAGGAATTGAGTCTTTTTTTCATTAAGGTCTAAATCACAAAATATTTTTTAGTCCAAATGGTACCATGTAAAATGTTTTCTTAAACTATATTGTCCCTTAAGAAAAATTTTCTTTAACCTTAGAAATAAATGGTATAAAGTAAAAATACTTAACAGGCAGAGACTTCAGATGAGTAGTAGTCAAAGCCCCAGACTAAGCCTCTTTTCCTGGTCCTTTGTCTAATTTTAAACTTAACCTCAGTTAAACTCACTGCCTCAGTTTCCATGCTGTTGAAACAGTGGTGCTCTCTAGTCAGGATGTTTGATGATTAGTAGTATGGAAATCCTGTGGGTTCCCATCATGTTTCTTGAAGGGAAGAGTGACTGGTCTATACAACAGGTTATTTGTCTTATATTTGGTCTTTATGCTGGAGCCACAAAGCTCAGGACATTAATTGATCCATGAACTGTCCAAATGTGTACATGAACTAGTATAACAGTCTCAGGTTAGCAGGTCTAAAACACAATCTTTAACTGATAATGGACTGAGCGGAATTTGGGTTAATATGAATGAAGGAAGGTGGAAAAGAGTAACAAATTAACCTCCTAGTTTCTTCAATGTCTGTCTATATAAGTCAGAAAATGCCTCTGAAGAACGAAACTTGGAATTTTTTTTTTCTCGTACCAGGGATTAAACCCAGGGCTCTTAACCATTGAACAACATCCCCAGCTCTTTTTATTTTCTATTTTGAGGCAGTCTTGTTAATTTGCTCAGGGCCTCCCTAAATCGCTGAGGCTGGCTTTGAACTTGCAATCCCTTTCTGCCTCAGCTTCCCAAGCCTCTGGGACTGCCAGGGTGCACCACCACACCCAGCGCAATTGTTCATTCTTTAAAGTGTTTTAAATGTTCTACTTTGGGCTTCATGGCTTCCTGAGGCCCCTTTAAAGTTAGTACATTTAATATTCTGTCAGGCCATTTGGCTCCCATTGATTTGAAAGCCTTGGAGACACTCTTCAGCAGCACCGTTTTCAGCAGAGTAGGGTTCCTGGGCTGCTTCCCAGACTTCCTGTTTGGGGCTAGGAAGCAGCCCAGGGAGCCCACCCTGCTGCACTTTCCAGTGTCACAGAGAAAAGGACAGGCAAACAAGGTTTTCTCCCTGGGAAATAAACACATCCATACACCTCCCAGATATGTGCTTGGCATGTTGAATCCTGATTGACAAATCAGGATTAGGTGATTGTCTTTTACTCTAGGAACCCAACTGTATAATGGATTCAAAATACTGCAATCTTTGGTCTTACACTGGGGCCATTTTCTATACTACAATAGCAAAAGGAGTACTCAATCCGGTATCCTAAAATTCAGGATTGTCATGGGAGAACATAAGGCAGTGTGTCCCCATGTGAGAAATGTTCTATACTGTAGTGCGCTATCTTAACATCCAATATTTATCAAGCACTTACTATGTGACCAGTGTTGTTAAGCACTTTACACATACTATTGGAATGAATTCTTTCAAACCCCGCTGGAAAAGGCACTGTTAATGTCTCCACTTTATAGATAAGTTAAAGCTATCTGTTCAGTGGATAGGATAGAGCTGGGACAATGAAACTTATTATTATTATAACCCTTAATGTTCCCTGATTTCCTACCAGATGGGACTCTAAGGTGGGATTTTATAAGTCTCATGCATCCTGTGGTCTCTTCACTGGTCCAGGATTAMTTTCACTTTTACTCTTTCTAAGAAGGTATACAGAAGCATGGGTTAGAGTGCAGGTTCTAGCCTCAGAAATTCAAACCTAAGATTCACTATACATGAGGTATGTGTCAGTTGTCCTTTCTAAGCAACAATTTCCATATCTAAAAAATGAGCAGCATAAGAAAGGTACTAAAAAGAAGAACAAATCTACACCCAAAGCAGCAGAAGATAGGAAATAATTAAAATCAGAGCTGAAATCAATGAAATTGAAACAAAAGAAACAATTGAAAAAATTGTTGGTTCTTGGAACAAAAAGTTGTTCTTGGAAAAAAATAAATAAAATTGACAGACCTTTAGCCATGCTAACCAAGAGAAGGAGAGAGAAAACTCAAATCATAAACATACATGATAAAAAATAAAATATCACAAAAGACACTACAGAAATACAGGAGATAATTAGAAATTATTTTGAAAACTTATACTCCAATAAAATAGAAAAATATCAAAGGCATCGACAATTTTCTAGAGTCATATGATTTGCTCAAATTGAATCAATTTGAACAGATCAATTTCAAGCAATGAAATAGAAGATGCCATCAGAAGCCTACCAACCAAGAAAAGCCTAGGACCTGATGGATACACAGCTGAGTTCTACAAGACCTTTAAAGAAGAMCTAATACCAATACTCTTCAATTTATTTCAGAAAATAGAAAAAGAGGCAGCACTTCCAAACTCATTCTATGAGGCCAATATCACCCTTATTTCAAAACCAGGCAAAGACACATAAAAAAAATCAGACCAATATCTCTAATAAACATAGATGCAAAAAATGTCAATAAAATTCTGTCAAATTGAATACAAAAACCTATCAAAAAGATCATGCACCATGACCAAGTGGGATTCATCCCAGGGATGCAAGGTTGGTTCAACATACGGAAATTAATAAATGTAATTCATCACATCAATAGACTTAAAGATAAGAATGATATGATCATCTCAATAGATGCAGAAAAAGCATTTGACAAAATACAGCACCCCTTCATGTTCAAAACACTAGAAAAATTAGGGATAACAGGAACATATCTCAACATCATAAATGCTATCTATGCTAAGCCCTAGGTCAACATCATTCTAAATGGAAAAACATTGAAGTTATTCCCTCTAAAAACTGGAACAAGACAGGGATGTCCTCTTTCACCACTTCTATTGAACATAGTTCTTGAAACACTGGCCAGAGCAATTAGAAGAAAGAAATTAAAGGGATACACATAGGAAAAGAAGAACTCAAATTAGAACTATTTGTTGATGATACAATTCTATATCTAAATGCATCCACAGAAAACTTCTAGAACTAGTAAATGAATTCAGCAAAGTAGCAAGATATAAAATCAACACCCATAAATCAAAGGCATTTCTGTATATCAGTGACAAATCCTCAGAAAGGGAAATGAGGAAAACTACTCCATTTACAATAGCCTCAATAAAATACTTGGGAATCAACTTAACAAAAGAGGTGAAAGACCTATACAATAAAAACTACAGAACCCTAAGAAAGAAATCAAAGAAGACCTTAGAGGATGGAAAGACCTCCCTTGTTCTTGGATAGGCAGAATTAATATCAAAATGACCTTACCACCAAAAGCACTATACAAATTTAATGCAATTCTGATCAAAATCCCACCCAATAGCATTCTTCATAGAAATAGAAAAAGCAGTCATGAAATTCATCTGAAAAAATAAGAGACCCAGAATAGCTAAAGCAATCCTTAGCAGGAAGAGTGAAGCACTATAGACTCCTATAGTGCAAGAATTTAAACCAAGAATCAATAAATGGGCTGAAATCAAACTAAAAAGTTTTTTCTCAGCAAAAGAAACAATCTGTGAGGTGAACAAAGAGCCTACATCTTGGGAGCAAATCTTTACCCTTTACACATCAGATACAGCACTAATCTCTAGGGTATATGAAGAACTCAAAAAGCTAAACACCAAAAAAAACAAATAACCCAATCAATAAATGGGCGAAGGATCTGAACAGACACTTCTCAGAAGATGATATACAATCAATCAACAAATATATGAAAAAATGTTCATCATCGCTAGCAATTAGAGAAATGCAAATTAAAACTACTCTAAGATTTCATCTCACTCTAGTCAGAATGGAAGCTATTATGAAGACAAACAATAAGTGTTGGTGAGGATGTGGGGGAAAAGGTACACTCATACACTGCTGGTGAGACTACAAATTGGTGCAGCCAATATGGAAAGCAGTATGGAGTACTGATTCCTTGGAAAATGAGAATGGAACTACCAATTGACCCAGCTATCCATCTCCTCAGTCTATATCCAAAGGACTTAAAAACAGCATGCTACAGGGACACAGCCACATCAATGTTTATAGCAGCACAATTCACAATAGCTAAATTGTGGAACCAACCTACATGCCCTTCAGTAGATGAATGGATAAAAAAAAATGTGTCATATATACACAATGGAATATTACTCAGCAATAAAAGAAAATAAAACCATGGCATTTGCAAGTAAATGGATGGAGATATAGGAGATAATGCTAAGTGAAATTAGCCAATCCCAAAAAACCAAATACTGAATATTTTCTCTGATATAAGGAGGCTGATTCACAGTGGCATAGGTAGCAGGAGCATGGGAGGAAAAGACGAACTCTAGATAAGGCAGAGAGTTGGGAGGGGCGGGGAGGGGACATGGGGTTAGAAATGATGGTGGAATGTGATGGCCATCATTATCCAAAGTACATGTATGAAGACACAAATTGGTGTGAATATACTTTGTATACAAC